AGGTATCTTTTGTAAAACTACCAATTTAATGCTCTTGATCAGCCAGCTCTTTTCTTTTCCACCTGTGAACTGAGCTCTTCAGTTCTCTGTTGGGCTGATTTTCTGTGCACACCGAAGGTGTTTTTCTCCATGTACCTGCCATTGCCTCTGATGGGAATAGGTGGAGAGGGTTCTGGGTGCCCAGAGCACCGTCACTGTTCCAGGGCAGCTGTTATGTTGCAGCCGTTTCTTGCTTTGGCTTCTCAGGAAAGTCAACAGTAGGGTGAGAAAAGACGGCATCACAGGGCAGTATGCATTGTGTACATCGCCTCTGCCCAGTTGCAAATGCAGGCTGTGAAACTGCCTCCATAGGCAGATCTGAAAACGAGAGGACCGTAAGTCCTCATCTTCTGAAGCACGCAAGCTTATGGTAACAGCTACCCCTTGGCATGATTACCCTACCAGGGGGTTGAAATTTAAGTACATTATTACCACAACTGCTTTGTTGTCCAAACCACTAACTTCCTGAGTGTCTGCTTTGTTTTCTTAAGCAAACTGTTCCAAGTAAGACTTGATTGAAACTCTTTTCAAATTATGCAAAGTTGGGGCACTGAACCAATTGCCCTAATTGAGGAAACAGGGCATCGTGATCTTAGATTTATTCTTTTTTAGAACATGAGGTTTACTATTAACGTTTTGGCACAGCTATTCTCATGTTTGGGGCTTATCCTCCTCCCGGTTTTTCTGTTTTGTTTTTAAAACCCTGGAGTTGTTGATCTCCAGCACTCTTCATTCCTGGTGTGTATTTAGTTTAGTTTCTACTTTAGGATTTAAACTTTACTTGGGTAAAGTTTTTCACCATGGTGGCTATTTAGTAGTTAGAAATAAACAGCTGTCTCCTTTCTGATAAATTCATTATTGTTACCTGTCAAGTTAAATGAACAATAGACAATTCAAGAAGGACATTTCTAGATTGCACACATTTTGCCTGGGTGAAGTGGAAAGGAATATCGATCTCACTAGGTGACCTTGCCAAGATATTTAACTTCTCCCTTCTGTTGTTATAATTTCATGAGTTATGGATGTTTGTTTACTTAAGCTTACTCCATTCCCAAGGTTATTTGGAGAATGAAGTGACGTTATTAAATAGCTCATAGAATCTTGGATAAGGGACTCCATGAAAGTGCCAAGTGTTTAAAAACAAAATAGATTTCGACTGTTAAATATTAAGAAGGTGTAGGCGTTATTCTGTGGTATTTTACCTTGATCAGTGGTAGCACAAGCCACTCAGATCACCAGAATTGCTTTGATGTTTTTGTTATGCCACCATGACTTAAAAATCTGCTTGGAAACCAAGTATTTGGCAACTGTGTTTTGTTTTACTGACCAGTACATGAAGTCACAATTCCTGTCAGTTTGCCCTGCTTCCTGGTGACACAGCGTTTACCCCTGCCCCCCACCACCCCCTCTCCTTGTCCCACCTGGGCGAAATGCTGCTTACCCTGCAGGACTTCCATGCTGGTGAGCCGCCCTCCTGGGTGCTGCCATTCACCCTGTGCTTCTGCCGCAATCACAGGGCGGTGAGCACCTGCTTATTGGTCCATCTTCCAGACCAGACCAGGCACATCTCGAAGCAGAGACCACATCCTGCTGACGTTGGAGCCTCTCGTAGCTAGTCCATGCTCTGTGACATTTTCAGCAAGGATGGTCAGCCAGCAGTGTGGTAGGACTGTCTCTGTCTGTCTGCAGCTCTCCTGGAGTGGAGACTGAGCATGCTTGTGGAGATAGGGTTGAGAGACGGGGAAGAGAGGCAGCATGCACACACTGTTTCAGGGTGATGACCCTGAATCCAGGACCTCCCAGCTACCTGGGAGTGGACCTCAGCGCTGACTCTATTAGTTGTGTAGCCTTGAAGAATCTACTCTTTTCCGTGCCCTGTGTTCCTCGTCTCTACAAGGGGATAACAGCTTCTATGAGGTTGTTGTGAACATTCAGTGAGATGGTTGGAAACATTCCAGCTGTTTGGAACCGTGCCTTGCACATAGTCCATGTTAGCTATTATTTTTAAGGGTACTGACCCTTAAGCGGAGTACACTGATGTAGCCATCCATTACCTTATACAGTACATCAAGTTAGCCACAGGGAAATGCATATTGAAATGTTGGTGGCCCAGAAGAAAGGATAAATGTTGTAAGATGCCTTGCTCTCAAGTAGAGGCAGGTTTGAAAGGGACCTAGCATGAAACCATTTGAAAGAAAAAAGTCTTGTGTAATTTCTTCTCTTTATTTTTGCTCACTCAGTCATAGCCTTGAGTTTGAGATATGTCAAAGCTTTAAAAATTTGAAACTGTGGAAGGGATAGATACCCTTGAGACCCTTCTCCTGAGAACCCACCCTACGTACATCTTCCTTAACACCTGGTTTGAGCTAAGATGTTTCAGGTAGTCTGTTAAGGGTTCTGAATATGATGATAGGCTTTTAATTGACCCAGGCATTTTGGCTGCAAGTCTGTCAGTGTATTTTTCCCTCCACACAAACAGATGTGCACACGCAGCTCCATATGCACAGATTCTGGACCTGTGCTCAGCAATGCTGAGACCTCAGGTGTCGCCAGACAGTGTTGCTCATTTTAGGAGTTTCTTATCTTGAAGCCCAGCAACCTTGGCCGTGGCAGTTTATGCAGACTTCAAAATTTTCACATTAACATGTTATTGTTCCTACTTTGAGTATTATGACTCAGCACATCATTTCTCACATCAGGAAACCCCCAGTTTACCCACGTGAATGGAGATCAATGGCGTGGACGTTGCAAAACAACAGATTTGATTTTGAATTGAACTATGTAATTTTGGGGATGAGAGATAATCCTTATAAGTTATGATTTGCTTTGGCTAATATTAAGTTATACTGTGGATTGTTTTTTAAATGTCCATGAAGAATTGGCAAGAATTAGAACTCTTGTAAAGACACTCACTGCGCACTTTCCACATGGTTAGAGAGGGAAGGTGGCAGAGAGGTGAGAGGCAGGTTTTAGGGTTACAGCTCTGCTCTGCTCCCGGCCCTGGTCCTCGCTCCTCTGTGATCTTAGGGCAAATGCAGTTGGAAATGCGACTGGAAAATGGAATCGAGCCCCCTGCTTCTGAATGTTAACAGGGTTAAAGAAAATGACGCATGTGAAGCACCCATCCACAGTGGCACCTAGTAGGTGCATTAATAAAAGTTTCATGTTATTAAGATATACAATTTGTAGAATTCTGGATGACCCTAACAGTAAACCATAATACGCAGAAAGGTAACGCATGCATGTCTGCTATAAACTTGCCACAGTGAAGCATTTTAGAATTGGCACGCCAACCCCCACCCACACACACCTGAGAACTGTCAATCTTCGTTTTAGGTTTCCTAAATTTGAGAATTCTCCATGTAGGTTCCATATATAAGTGGATGCTTATTCTTTAAATTCCCCCATTCTGCTGTAGCCACCATTTGGGAGGCACCTGCTGCTCTTTTGCAAGTCTCTTGGGAAGCCTTGGGTGAGAAAGCCTGTGGCATCTTCCAGGACCGGGAGAGAATGGTTAGCTGATGGAAAAGTACAGTGTGACAGCCACGGGTACGCAGGTCAGGTGGGCACTAAGCAGCCTACTTCCAGAAACTGGGTCCCCGAAAGAATGTGTAGTTGGGGGTAGTGTGTGTTTGCAGGTAATACTTGTAGAATACTTATTTAACGTAAAATGCATCCATGTAGTTATATAGACGTTGGATTATATAAACCCATGAGTTGAAAAGAGCTTGTTTTAGATAGTAATCTTTAGAAGAATGGCATGCCAATGGAACTCAATTTTGAAATGTTAACCTTGATAATATATGTGTGTACTTTCTAAATATTAAATTTTTTTTTTTTACATATCCAGTAAAATTGTTTTAAGGTAACTGGAATATTTATATTGGCTGCTACCACTCTTGATTAAAAGGAGGAGGAGTACAAGATGTTTGAAACACTCTGTTAGGTGTCAAAAGACCTGGCTCCTAGCTCTGCAACCTTCAGCAAGGTCACTGTACTTCTCCGGGGATCTTAAGAAGGATGAGATTTTTTTTTTTCCATTCATTAAACAGCTTTTTTGTTTTTGGAGGAGGTGCATTTTCTTTTTTTGAAGTCCAGCATGCCGGGATTTTAATTACTGCTGTCACCTCTTTCTGTGCTGGGTGAAAAGACAGCCTGAGGGGATTCAGAAAAAATTCCACACCCCAGAGCTCGTGAGCCACTGAGAATGTAATGAGCTGGAGAGAGAGAAAACTGCCATCTTTCTGAAATGACAACTAAAAGTACATCGCACTCGTTGTGTATTTTTCACATTAGTAAAATCTTTTCTTAGCTAAAGTGTAAGTAAAAGGAAGGGGTGATGGTTTAGAGCTTGGCATTAAGAGTCACAGTTATGGGTTTTAAATCCTGGTCTACAATTGACTTAGCTGAGGTGGGGGGCAATTTAATCTCCCTGAGCTTCAGTTTCCTCATTTGTAATATGAGGACAGTAATACCTAGCTGTCAGGGTTATAATAAAGATTGAACATAACTATGCAAAAAATATCTGAACACACACACAACCATCCTACTGAGCTGACAGTATTAGTAGCTATTGTTACTGTAGACATTTACTTGAACCACAATGGTATGTATTTGGAAGAACAGGTAATGTTAATTTTGCAAAACATGCTCTTCTGATTCTATTACGTTTTGTCACATTTTACTGTAATTATTTGCGTGCTGTCTGACTTATCCCCACTGGACTCTAGGATCCCTGAGAACAGAGCCATGTCTTTTTCATCCACCCCAAAACACATGATGAGCACAGTGCCTGGTGTGTTGTTTCTCTGGCAGTGACCAGGGTGGGCTACACCAGCCCCCCGTGGATGGCAAATCAAGTCTCAACAGGGGTTTGGGTGCCAGGAAGACAAAAATAGGAGATAAAAGTAAGAAGTGCTCTGTAACTCATTCCTCCAGAATTACCATGCAGGTTACTGGGCTGAAATATGAGTTAAAAGTACGAAATGGTCAGATTAAGGCCACCAGCGGGTACCATCTCTGGTTCTGTCAACATGAAATGAGAGATGTGAGCCTGGAATGCCGGGCACAGCCACTGGGATGAGAATAATTTCACCACATAGTTCAGAGTACATTTTAATGCCTTAGATCTTCATGGTTCTTTTGGGGTAAATTTTAAAGGATCCATCTGTGTTTTAATTTCTTTGTACAAGAGTAAAAATTTTCCCTATTACTTGTTTATTAAATTCACATTCAGTTACATAAATGAATTAAAAGCATACAGACAGTTTTTGGTTAGTCCTGTCCACAGAGCAGAATATCTGAGATAGTCTAAAAATGATGTTTCGATGTATAACAACGATCATGGATCCGTCTGGTGTGAAGCAGATTCAGAGGCTTTCAGAATAATGAAGAAGTGTTGGCAATGTTAACAGCTCAGGGAAGAGGCCATGCTCTGGGTGGGAAAAGCTGGTTTAGTCTAGGGTCAGGGGAATATTGTCAGCAATGGAAAGGCCTGCCACAGACCATCTGAAATGTGGATAATCTGAGGTTGAAGTCAGTTCCTTTAGCATTACCAAAAAAATGAAGGAAGATTTCCAGGCAGAGACCGTTTCCCGATCGGCGTCAGAGAAGGCATGCTGCAGAACAAATGTGAGTGGTATTATATTCCTCCATCTCTCAATCTTGTCTTTCAATAATACAAGTCACTTTTTGTCAGATCACACACTGAGAGGCGCGAATTCAAGTCACTGTTGAGTAAGTCTGCTATGCAGGTCTGTCAACAGAACGAAGAAGAAAAGGTCTGGAAGAGAAAAAACTAAGTCACAGAAGCCCTCACATTCAAATTGTTAAAAAACATTGATGTAGGAGTGGAGTCTCTTAAGGACTTCAAATCTAAACCAGTACTATTTATTAAATGTTTGTGTTCAACAGAATTCACAAGAATTCAAGTGGAAATGGTATTTTCCTTGGAATCGAGTCTATATTTACTGACTTAAAATTAAAATATAGTTCAAAACGGGAATAAACAGACCAGTTTTTAAAATAAGACAAACTGATGATTCTTCAGAGAGTTTCAAGATTGCTTAAATGAATACAAAGACACAGTTTCTGACATTTGGCCTGCATGGGAAATTTATCCTCTGATTTCTAACACTGTGCACATCTTTGTATGTACAAGATGCATAGCCGAGTTGTGATTTATGCTCTCACCGTTACCTCCAAACTGGCCACTATTAATAATTAGAGAATTATTTTTAATCAACTGTGGCACCTGGCACTTGTAACCTATTTTAGAAAGCTAAATATTTTAAGAAAAATCTCTTGCTTCAGGGATATTTACACTAAGAGTAATATACCAAGAAATAGTTCCAGGGGAGAAGATAGCCTGCACTCTAGGGTAGAAGAGAGAGAAAACAGAAAGTATCATTAACTTGTAACTCTACCATTCCTCCAAGGAGGAATTTTCAGGATGCTCATTGCTTCAGCTGTCTTTGCAGAAAAGGGATGACAGTGGGCACCTGATGCCAGCTCACTGTGGGACTGCCAGGCATTTGAAAGAGATCAAATGACATGTACCTACAACTTGGCAGACACTCTGCTTGGTTTATTTGCATAATCTCCCTCAAACATCATAAAACAAAGGCTGATGGTGGACCTCCAGGTTGTCCTGTTTAGACATATCATGATATTTAAAAGGTATCTTTTGTAAAACTACCAATTTAATGCTCTTGATCAGCCAGCTCTTTTCTTTTCCACCTGTGAACTGAGCTCTTCAGTTCTCTGTTGGGCTGATTTTCTGTGCACACCGAAGGTGTTTTTCTCCATGTACCTGCCATTGCCTCTGATGGGAATAGGTGGAGAGGGTTCTGGGTGCCCAGAGCACCGTCACTGTTCCAGGGCAGCTGTTATGTTGCAGCCGTTTCTTGCTTTGGCTTCTCAGGAAAGTCAACAGTAGGGTGAGAAAAGACGGCATCACAGGGCAGTATGCATTGTGTACATCGCCTCTGCCCAGTTGCAAATGCAGGCTGTGAAACTGCCTCCATAGGCAGATCTGAAAACGAGAGGACCGTAAGTCCTCATCTTCTGAAGCATTGCTCCCTGGCTGGTGGTCGAGGCCCTGCTATTACACACCACCACTGCTGTGATTCAGACCACGCCAGAAAGCCTGCCAGTGCCTGGATGAAGTGCAGACATGGTGACACAGCTCGAAGGAGAGAAGGCAGAGCTTGCACAGCACAGGCAGCTCATGCCGGCTGCTGTGAGCAGGGTGGTGTGGCCCTGGTACCTAAGCCTAGGTCTGGCCCTACCCCTGGTTCTGGGCGGGGGACTGGCTGGCTGGCTGGGGAGGTGATCTTGGCCTTGTGTTTCCTTTCTCACCCTCACCTCTCATCCCTTTCTCAGCTCCTCTGTGGATTCTGTGGATCAAAACAGACGCTTCTCACTCTGACTTCATTTTACACTGAAAAGCACCATTAGGTAGGGAATGGCGCCCACTAGTTTCTGCCTTGCGATGGAGGCCTGTGGGCCAAAAATGTTTGAGAATCCCTTCTTTGTTTAGAAAAACCACTATTCTTCAAGAAGGGATAAGCAAGCATGAGAACACACATAGTCCTGAGATTTGGGTATCCTTTTCCTTATTCCTTATTTGTTTCTTTGAGTGAATGTTCTTCCCCTAAAAAGATTTCCTGTTCCCCTCCACCATGACTTCCCTTTTTGTTCTCAGTAGCATTATTTATACCTCTGTATGGTGGCCTCTCCAAGGCAGGGGCTGTCTTCTCTCTCTCTCTGCATCTGCTCCATTGCCAGCACGGTTCTAATGGCCAGCTGTCTAGCAGGTGCTTAAGAGAGCTCTAGCACTCCGTGATAGCTACCTTGTGTTCCTCTCCCACAGGACTGCAGTGGTAAGCGAGATGCTGTATCTATTGCTAGCCTCTCTTAGGTACCAAGAGGAGGAAAAACTACTTTTTTCCCTCTACTCTCCCAGTTTCTCTGCTGGGTCCCTATCAGTTAGACTGAGAGAAGAGCAATTAACAAGAGAAACACAGTTTATTAACCTGTGTATCACATACACACATGGGAGCTTCCAGTGATGAGTAACTCAAAGGGGTGGTTAGAACTCAGGCTTCTTTGGCATCCTAACAAAAGAACAATACATTTGTAGCAAAGCAATAAGACAGAGGAAAAGGACTTTGAGCTTCTAGGGGAGCAAATTATGGGAAGGTAGATTTACAGGGGAACTAATGGAAGAGAAGGGCTAGTTAGTAAAGTTTGTGCCATAGATTCCTCTAGTGTCCCTTGTGGGCTGACCAGGGTGTGCAGCTGTCTCCAGTGATGAGCTTCTGTCCTTTCTGGTAGGGGAGGGGGACACTTTACAAACACATGTCCTGCTTTTAGGCAGATAGAGGGCAGGCTTTTCTGGTATCTGCTGCTTCTCAATTGCCTTCAGCTCAAAATAATCCTTCTGTCAAAGCGACATGTTTCAGGTGGTATATTCTGCCACCCTTCAGCACCTTGCACATGATTTGCAAATAAACATTTACTGAATTGAACTAAAATGAAAGCAAAGGCAACCTTCCCTTTTCTAACTGGTGTTTGCTAAGTAATTTACCCTATGCCACGGATTAGGTGGAAAGCTTTGTGAGCTTCAGGCAGAGCCTAGAGGAAAGATGCTAGCTGGGCAGGAGGCTTTCTTCAGTGGCTCTGCTTTTCCCTTGCCCACAGGAATCCCCTCATCTTCCTCTTGGGGTGTTGGGGTGGTATAATCAGTGATGGCTATAAAAACAGTTTGAGCAAAGTTCAAAGCATTAAATACAGATGGAAGTTATTTCCTGTGCACGCTCCAATAGGAAAACCTGGTAATAAGCATTTAGTAAACATTGGCTAGTAGTGTTAAATACTGTTGCCTCCCCAAAGAAGTGAGCCATAATACTTATGTAATCCTCCCTCACAGGTATGAATTAGGAGCTGCTTTGTTTATTGGATGGGCGGGAGCCTCACTCTGCATAATCGGTGGCGTCATATTTTGCTTTTCAATATCTGACAGCAACACGCCCAGGTATGAACAAGAGACGAGAATGACCTGTGAACGAGTACAATGCTGCTCTGAATTAGTGCATGTGGGACAACTCATAGATAGTTCCTAGGGTCCCTAGACACTTCAGAAAGCCAGAATTGGGAAAGGTTAGCAATATATAGTAAATACAATATTAAATACAGTAACTGTGGAATAAATACAGTTAACTTATAGGCAATTAAACCAAAGCAGAGCTCATCATTCTTACATCCCAAAGCAATTTCTGTAACTAGAAATACGGGTCTAAGTACCGGGGCATTTTCTCCACTTTGGCCTCATCCCCATTTTCACATGGGCAGAAATTGCTAATGGTCATCACAGTTTCCTAGGTTCTAAGACAAGTTTTAAAGCAGAGCAGCAGAGCGAACTAACAAGTCATGAGTCTCTTCTGCAGAGACTGTCACACCAATGGCTCAGAAGTGACATTGAAGTGTTTCTTGGGATGAGAGGAGGGAAGAAGGTAGCTACAAGCAATGAGGGGAGTTCACTAGGCTAGGACAGAAACGGGGGCAGGAGGGAACTGGTTCCTTTCCCATTTTGGTTTGCCCTAAGTGTAAAACAGCATCTGCCAAACTGTGTTTTGCCTTTCAGAATGGGATACGTGTACAACGGGGCCACGTCTGTCATGTCTTCTCGGACAAAGTATCATGGCGGAGAAAGAGATTTTAAAACCACAAACCCTTCAAAACAGTTTGATAAAAATGCATATGTCTAAAAAGAGCCCTACTGCAAGTTGGGTGTTGAGTTTGTTACAAAAGTGAACTGTACATGAATTGATCCCATCAAAGCCCTCCTATAATTAACACCCCAACTATTTTTAAAATATGAATTTGAAGAATGTGTTGATTGTACGGATGTAATGTTCTTATATAGCTACATACTGATCATTTTCTGTTGTGGCTTTCTATATAAAAATAAATAGGCTATTTACAGGATTTGTTTATATTTTATACATTTATAGAACATGTAGATTATTTAGCACCAAAGGTTAGAGAAATATTCATAATGGTGCCTTCTTAATCACTCAGACACTACCATATGTGTTCCTGTTCCTTGTCTCTTCTTCATATATTAAACAGATGGTCTGTGAGGAGTGGTGTGTCGTCAACAGTATGGGCACACTCTGTGACTAGCCCTCAAGACGTTTGGTTAGGATGGACGTACTCCTGGCTGCAGAGCTGACGTCTAGTTTCTTAGACCTGCCACCACTGATTCACGACTGCTAAGGAGGTGCTGATGGGGCCAAGGTGTTACTGTCTGTGCCCTGGCCTGTTCGCCTTAAATAACCACTGAGGCTCTGGCTGAGAAAGCCAGTTCGGGAACCGAGCTAGAGACACTGGTTGACTTTGGAGCCAAGAGGGGAAATCTTGGAGCCTGCGTGGGACCTGCCGCACTCAGAACCTATGGGACAAGTCTGGTACGTCTTGTGGGTCCCGTGTGTGGAATGAACTGGGTAATGGAGAAACCATCTTTTAAGACATGTAAGTCGCTCAAGAGACCTGTGAACCAAGATGATGATCTATTCCTAGGGCCACAGCCCATTTACCACATGCCCCTGAAGGGGACAGCCATCTCAGTTAAAACACAGGGTACGTGTGTGGCAGGCACCCACCTGAACATTTTCCTGCGGTTCCTTACTTCAGGCTCGGGCCCTCCCCCGAGGAAGTGCCTAGTTAGGATCTTCAGTTGACAGGGAAGGAAATGGAAGCCGAGAGTTTAAGTAACTTGCCACAATGAGTGACAAAAACAGGACTTTGATTGAGGAAGTCCAGGGTAAAACAGTTTCAACCTTTGGATGAGAATCTGTGAGCCAGACATTTTCCAATACTAATCACAGCACGGGTGGGTGAATACATTTTCCTGAAGCGTAAAATAGACTTTAAAGGAAAATCACAGTGCTTGGAGGTGCTCAGTGGGAAGAAAAGTAAATGAACAAGTTTGTTACCAAATATGTAATATACATTCCAGACCTGATAATACTGAAAACTGATTTTCCATGGATACAAACTCAGTCATAGAGGGAGGTTAGGTGATATAAGCTGGTGGAACAAGGGGCAAGTTTAGTGTATGTTTAAAACAAAGTTTTTGACTTCAGAGATGCACTGGCAAAAAATGTGATGTTTAGATTGTACTGAACCATTCTAGTTCCTGAAAAATTTAGGGGAGGAGGAGGCGAGTGCCGAAAAGCTCCTTTAGTAGCCAGAAACACGTTAGCTGTGCATGAACAAGTCGAATCCAGTAGGACAGATGATAGGACTCAACAGTGAGTTAAAAGACCAGCTTTTGCAACACAGATGTGCTGACTTAACTGAAGTATTTACTCAGCAGAAGTTCTTCATGTTCCACCCCTTCCGTTCAGGGACACAGACGTGGCCTGCACAGGGAGGCCCGAGACCCAGTTGGTCCTGCCTTTGTCACTCTCTAGCTGTATGGCCTCTGGCAGGTTATTTAGTCACTCTAAATTTCTCACCTCTTGAGGACGAGGATTATAATAACTACACCTCAAAGCTGTTATAGTCAAGTGAACAATGCATGTTCATAAAATAAACCCAAGTGTTCAGTAAATATCCATTGAAGAAAAGCCTAAATGCACACAGAGGCCTGGTGCCTCCTTAGGCACAGTGTTTTGGCAGGTGGTTTATCTCTGTCCTATATGAAAATTTGATTCTGTCTTTATTAATAAAGTTTCTGGAAACTTACATATAAAGTGAGTACATTTGCATAACATAGCCCCTGTGGGAAGTTTTCAAAAGGATGAGATTGAGCCACAAGTAAAAAGGGTTGAGGGGGGACAGGCAAAAACAGGGACAGCACTGGTTTGGGTCAGGCTCTCATGTGGCACAGCTAACACGGCAAGCTTAAATCCCCTGACGATGAGCTTCATTCAGAAATCAGCCACAGTCATGATAATGGAGGGGTTTACTTGAAAAGTTGACAGAATGGATCCAACAAACCATTTAGTTAAAATGTTACTTTTTTTGGAAACAGTACAGATAGTAACCACAAAATATTTTTAGAAAGCAAAAAACAGTTTATATGAACTTTCTGACCTTTGACAATGTCAGTGTTAGAAGTAAATGAGTTTTGAGGTATTTATAATATTGGCTGGGAATTTTAAAAGTGGGAAAACAACTACACACACAGATTCAGTTACGACTCTCCATGTTTTCTATATAGTCTGATAAATTGACATTTCAAATAGCTACATTTCATTCACAGAATACCCAAGATAAAGATTATGCTGCAGAAATGCTATTTAAAATTCTACAATAATTGTTTAATAACAACATGCTCACAATGGCTCAAAGCTGCATATGGTAAAGGTACTTTTGGAAAATGTATTTAACGTGGGCCTGTCTATATTTTTATAATTCTAAACTTACTTCTGTATGAAGAATAACCATTCTACTCTTAAGATTTCACAGATTCCACTAATTCAATTTTAAGAATACTAACAGAATTTTATAACAGAACACTTGCAGTGTGACAATGTACATAAAAAAGACATTAAAAAAGTGTTTTGATTCAAACCAAAACCTGCAATAATTTTAAAAATTCACTTAAAAACCAGTTGAAAAAAAATACATTTAAACACTAGAGTACCATTCTGAAAAGAAAACTTTTTATGACTTCAATGATATTATTTTTAAGTGGTAGAAGTCTTAAATACCTTGACATGCTTCAAAATACTGTTGACAATTAGCTTTTCAATACTGAGTTAGGTGCCATTAAAGAGACCCTTGTTCTGTGAATTAGCTTCCTTGTTATTGTGGGAGCTGTAGGGTGGTTACTGAAATACTGTTGGCATCTGGACCTTCTGGCGTGTGGGATCAGAGTTACACATCTGAAGAATCACTCCAGTCAGTCACAGTTACTAAGCTGCTTTTCACTGTGCTTGAATCGTCTTGAAGTCCTGGAGGGAAGAGAGGGAAGGAGGGAGGCCCCAGTGATTAAGCAAGCATGTTGTCCAGCCTGTAGAAATCCTTAATTTCATACTGTCATTTACCACTCAATGCCCGCCTCTGTTCTCTGAGCCCCACCCCCAGCTCCCACCAGTCAAGGACACCCTCCCAGGACTACATATGGAAGCGTCCACCCAGCATCCCTCCTTCCCTGCAGTCTGCACAGGGCCTCAATTAGTTCTGTCGTCATCGGCTCTGAGAGAGCAGGTGGTAAAGAAAGGAGAATAAAAGTAACAAATCCGTAGGAATTAAATGGTAAAAGGTACATTTTCTAGAGTAGATGAGCTTAAATATGAAGTTAGTTAAAAAGGGCCTTGAGCCACTAAAATAGTATAGTACAGAGAATTCCACTTGAGTTTGACTCTGTAGAGATGTTTTCTTTGAGGGGCGTGAGGCCAAGGCATTGGGCTGAATGATGGGAAATGTACTAAGGGTGTCTTCTTGGGAGTCCCTGTAATGTAAACCTGGTGTTTTGGTTTTCCAACCATTAGAAGGGATCTTTACCATAGCACAGACAACTTCATGACAGTTAGAGGACAGAAGGGCAGTGTCATGACTGGAGCAAAGGTGAGCCCAAGGGCAGAGGCAGCAATGGCAAGAGGCACTGACGCAAAGAGAAGAATGCACATGGAGGCCTGCGTGTATTAATGGAAATTTACAAATGGGGTACAAAAATACCCAAGGAGGGGTAAATGAGTGATGAAAATGAGCCCAGTCCTCATCTGTCTTAGCAGGACATCGCAGTTACTATCTCCAGCTGATGAGTCTGGAAATGGTCTAGAATCAGCCCATTCCTCAGAGAGACGAGGCCCTGCAGGGGCTGAGAGGCGGCGTGGAGAAGCCCTTCGGTAGGACTCGGCTTTCCCCATGTGCAAGAATTAATTTGAAAAATATAAATTGCATTTTCCAATTTAAAAGATGCTTTGAAAGTTAAGTTACCGGACATATTTAGGCTCGGGCTGACCCAGACAATTTGAACTACGGCTTCAATTGTAACTCATCCTGCTGGGTACAGTGCTAGAAGAGAAATCTTCCTTCAAAGAAAATGCTTAAGATGTAAACAGATTATTCTAGGAAGACTGCCAGAATGATGGCCTCATTCAGGTAGATGATCAGAAATTTTAATTTCTATGAACCACCTGCATGAAGAGAATATTTGGGCATTTTTAAAAAACAATAAAACTTGGGAGACTGAAGATTAGGCTTGTAAAATAAAACTAGGGTATATATACAAAACAGTAAATTGTACATATGCAGTTCTTATTAAAAGAACACAAAGCACTAAGATGTCTGTTATGCCAGCAGAGTGTGTTTGTCTGATCATATATTAGCAGAGCATAATTAGACGTTTGCAAAGATGAAACAGAACTGGAAAACAGCACTTCTCATCGGCAAGACACTAAAGCAGTGAACCTTCTCCCTGTGGCCCTTTAAGGTTCGATGCACCCCAGGCACTTGGCACTTGAGCAGAATTTGATTGATTCTTCCCAGGTGGAGGTTCCTTCTGCTCCTTGGCAAATTTTTTCCCAAAAGATTTTTCGTCCTCCAAGGATGATATGTCCCAGTCATCATCATCCACATCCACACACTAGAAGAAATACATGGAGAATAATGAGTGTTTCCTAAAGAGCCCCTCTGTCACTTTGTTGGCTACCCTGATGCTGACTGGTAAGAGATGGGGTCCCCCAGCTCTCCATCTGGTGATTTCTGGAGGCTGATGAAACAGATTTGGGAATCTGTGCTTTAAAAGTGGATGGAACCATCTCTTTGTTTTGTCTCTTGCCATGGAAAGTATGTTTCCTACCTACTCTACCAACCAAGAGTTTAGAAAATTCCAGAAACACTACCTTGTAGCAGTAAAGTGAGGGTGCTCCCCAAGAGGGAGCTTGGCTCTGGGTTCTGACCTGTGATAATATGACACTTAACTATAAGAGACATCACACAGGGCACAGCAGATACAGCCCGACAGAGAGGTACTGTGCCCGAAGGAAGACAATTAGCTTTCTTGAGTGACACGACTGTCATTTCTGGCTTGAGTAACAAATTGCACTAATTAATAATAGTAGTTTGACAAAATGCTCTGGATTCCATAGACAAACAGAGGAATTAAATCTGACCTCAGTGAAAAATTAAAAGCAACTACTACTCCTGGAAGACCCCGTCAACACAGATGCACCATGCCCAGCAATACACCACACCAGGGCTCGGCATCCACAGAAACACTCCCAGTGTCCTGGGTGTTGGAGCAGCTCGGAATGTTCTGGCTTCTCCTGCCCTCAGGGAGAGGACTCAGGCTCTGCCCTCCACTCAGTACACACATCTCAGAAGCATTTCTCCATGGACTCCAGCTCCCAGGTGGGCTAAACCCGAAAAGTCCCTATTTAAGTTCCAGGTTACACCACGATATTGGAAAAGTCCCTGGGCTCAGATCCAGAGGCCCCAGATTCTAGTCAGTCACAGGTTTCTGCACACAAACCATCTTAATACCTGCAAGCATCAAGCCGTACATGGCAGGACTCTGGAACCCTGTAAAGCTGGATAAGCACCTGATCATGACTAGTTGTCATTCCATTATCTGATTGTCTGTGGAGTGGAAAGAAACGCAATCCGGCACATCTCGTTTCATTGCATTTCACTTTACTGCCCTGTGCAGATACTGCATTTTTTACAAACAAGGTGTGGGGCAACCCTGCATCCAGCAAACCTTTCAGTGGCATTTTCCCCCAGCATGTGCGCACTTCAGGTCTGTGTCACGTTGATGATTCTCACAATATTTCAAATCTTTTTATTATTACCATATTTGCTACAGTGATCTGTGGTCAGTGATTGTAACTCACTGAAAGCTCAGAGATAGTTAGCATGTTTTAGCAATGAAGTATTTTTTAATCAAGGTATGTACATTGTTTTTTTAGACCTAATGCGATTGCATACTCAACAGACTACAGTGTGGTATAAATATAGCTTTTACATGCACTGGGAAACCAAAAAACACAAATTTGACTTGATTTACTGCAATATTTACTTCACTGCAGTATTCTGGAACCAAATGGACAATATCTCCAAGGTATGCCTGACTGAAAACAAAACCAGGTAAAAATCTTAACCTCTGCTACACTAAATAATGGTATCTATCTTACATTTCACTATAAAAAATATGCCTCAGAAGGTGTACGCATTAAAAGATGAATTTCTCTGTGTGTGTTTAGCAAGTAAAAGTGATTTCACCTTTAGTTCTTCTAAGTCTTTTAGAACGAACACCTCAGCTGCATGAATCCCACCAACTGGTTTATTCACATTTTTGTGATTTGAAACTGTCTTTTCACGTTTTTCAGTTAGTGTTTCAATGCAGGTTCCTATATGACCAACAGAAAACAGGTAAAGCTTTAAAAAAAATTAGTCACAAAATAACTTTACAAGCAACTTTGAAAGTGCCTAAGCTTTACAACTAATTATATGCTAATACATTAAAATCAGTTGATGTATTTGAGGGTTTAAAACAAGTTACATTAAACACTTATAATTCCTTTAAAAAAATCATGATCCTCTAGACTAGAAACAATACAATTTCCACTTTAAATCAAAGAAGGACATTCTCATTCAGATACATGGTCACAAAACTTTAATTTCAGTGAGGTAAACTGCATGAATGGAACATTCATATGGGTATTTTTCAAAAACAAGATCAGTTATTTGAAAATGAATGTTATGTTTTACATACTTATGTAAATGACATACATAAAATAATACTGATAAATTTTATATTAATACATTCAATAAATTTTATCATTTTTAAATTGCCATAAGCAGAATTTTCTTTTTCTTAAATGACCCTTTAGCCCACTGCTTTTCAGCTCATTCCTGGCAGTCACACACTTGGATCTGATGTTCCTCTGGCACTGGCCTGTCTTCAAAGGCAACACAGTGGGTCACAAGAGCCATTTCACAGCCACCCAGGGTTATGGGTTGAATTGTGTTCCTCCAAATTCATAGGCTGATGTCTTTACCCCCAGGACCTCAGAATGTAACCTCATTTGGAGACAGGGACTTTAAAGGGGGATCAAGTTAAAGTGGGGTCATCAGGCTGGGCCCTAATCCAGGATGACTGGTGTCGTTACACAGTTGGGAGATTTGGACACAAACACACGCACAGAAGGAAGTCCACAAGACAACACGCAGGGAGAAGATGGCCATCTACAAGCAAGAACAGAGGCTCAGCACGGATCCTTTCCTCAGCCATCAGAAGGAACCAACCTTGCCATCCTTGACTAAGGCCTTCCGGGCTCTGAACTGCTGTGAGACAATAAATTTCTGTGTTAAGCCACCCAACGTGTGTACTTTGTTACGGGAGCCCTAGGCAACCGGTATACCTAGGCCTGCCCCACTCCTTGCGCAGTCAGTCGCTGAGCCTGTCCACTGTCCTCAGCAGCAGCAGCAGCCTCCGGATTAGCCCCGGCCTTTCCTTGGCAGCGTCCCAACTAGACTCCCAGTGCCTGGGGTCCAGGTTGATAACCACTGTCCACGACAAAATTTCCAAAAGGATTTTCAAAGCTATAATCTCACCTGCGGGCTTGGGAGAAACATTGGAGTCCTTGATTTCACTTCCCTCGGTCCAGGCAGTGTTACATTTGACAGTGTTCTTTCCAGAGCTGCTCTTGTTGCTTTTAGATGACTGCACAGGAAGCAAGCCTGGAGGTGTGTAGGCCTGGACAAGGTCGTCGTCATCCAAGTCTTCCTCTGAACTAAAGGGAGAGGTCCTAGACAAATCAAAACCCAAACAGGGCGCACTGTTTTCCTAAGTTTCAGGATTTGCCAAGATATGCCACTTAAAGTGGTAGAATCTTCTCAGGTAATTCCCAGAAGGCGTAACAAACAAAGGCCTGTGTGGCCACAGGACAAGATAGCAGCCAGACCCAGGATTTGTGCAAAAGGCCAGAGAGCCATTTCAAATCCACACCTGCCAATCCCGTGGCATATTTACCAAAGTGAACAGAAGTTATGACATTTTTCCTCTAAATCCAAACCTGTATATTCTTAATATTCTTGGTTTTTACACACACCCCCAAATATGGGACAAGAAAATCTTCTTCAAGAAAATATTCCATCTTTTAAAATAGTGTCATAACTTTTAACTTTTCCTTTATACTTTACCTCACAAAGTGCTTTTGCACATACAACCTCATTTACATCAGCACATGGATTACCACCCCATGGAAAGGTGAAACAGAAGTTCAGAGCAGTGTTCATTCATTTAAAAAATTTCACTAAGCACTTAAATTCCAGACAATGTTCTGCTAGACTGTGTCCCATGAAGTAAGACTCTTCCCATGAGATTACATGAAAAGTGCTTTTGCAAGGTAAATCATTATTTGTATTATCTGTGCTACTTTATATTTATACTGTCTCTACTATACATACTATTTATGTCTCTACTATATGTATAGTACATATATAATATATATATATGTGTATACACACACACACACACACACACACACACAATGCCTCAATGAAGTTATTCCTGGCACCAGTAACTCTAGAATAAGTGGATGAAATTCAAGTATGATAAAATTAGTTTTACTAATAATTAGTGACAATAATATACATATAATTTATTGAGTACCCACGAGTGCCAAGCACTGAGGCACTTTTCATATGTTCTCATTTAATTTGTAGAACTATCATGTAAAAAAGGCAGCAACATCTTATATTACAGGTAAGAAAACTAAGGATTCTGACAGGTAAGCAAATGAATCTGCAGCACATGGTTAATGAGTGACTGAGATAAGATTCTTAATATCCTAAGAGAGTGAATTCTGGGGTCACTGTCAATGTCCACAAGGACCTGGAACACTAAAATATTATCTAACTACACTCACCATCAGGGAGCCATTAAAAGTCAACATCATTCATTCAATTTATGCTTAGTGAAGATTACTGGACACTGTGGGGGGAAATGGAAAATGACTCAGGGTGGTCCCACTTTTTAATGCAGGCCATATGGGAAAGTGCTTTTGCTTACATAATATCTGCTAAAGAAACAAAGACATGTCACAAAGGAATAACAAGTATGACATGGAATAGTGGGGACTTTAGTTAATCACAATGAGCATACGAATTTACAAAGAGAGAGTCAGTGAAAATAATTTTTTTAAATGATCTCCCCATCTCCAACCAAGTACTCACGTAATAGTTGAAGACCTCCTGGGAAAATTATCTTCTGGGATGTTTTTCTTAATTCTAAAAACAACAGAAAAGTATTTCTAAACAGCATGCACAAACAATGTATTTAACATAAATTTCTGTGGAACTGGCTATTTTTGCTATGAATATATATTAAAGAGATACTTAGGTAAGCAGCAATAAAAATGTCCTGGTCCAATAAGAGGCTGGAGGGAACTGTGAGCATGATTTTCTGTGGGGCTAAAATTGTTGTGAATGTTTGTGCCCTCCTAAAATTCCTCTGTGCAAATCCTCATCCCCAGTGGAGGGGATGGACCCCTCTGGGGGGCGATCAGGTTTGACTGAGGTCAGGAGGGTGGAGCCCCCATGAGGGATAAGTGTCTTTGTCAGAGGAAGAGACCAGAACTCTCTCCCTGCCATGTGAGGACATAGTGAGACGGTGCCACCTACAAGCCCAGGAAGAGGGCCCTCAGCAGAACCTGACTGTGCTGGCCCCCCAATCTCAGAGTTCCAGCCTCCTGAACTGTGAGAGAATACACTTCTCTTGTCTAAGCCACCCAGTCTGTGGCATTTTGTTACGGCAGCCTCAGCTAAGACAAACACTAATACAAGCATTTTCAGGTCAGAAATACTCACTTTGGAACAGAGGTCCTATCAGAAAAAACAGGTCTTTGTCGAATTAATTGTCTGCTTTTGGAAGGAAGCTGTACTGCCTTGGGTATTTCTCCAGCTGAAAGCACGTCCATTTGAGAAGCACAAGGCTTATCTGGAAGAGTAGTGCCACCCATCAGTCTCCTTGCCCTTACGTTAGCAGGTGCAAAGCAGGAGGGGGTACTACCACGCTGTCTACGCAGACACAGAAACAAGCAAGCCTGTCTCTAGGGTCTACAGTCCACACTACAGGGGTTCCAGAAATAAATACAAAACCCAGGCCCAACATATAATGGTTCAAACAGTATTAGAGTTGCCAATTAAGTGCCAGAGTTGGTGAACTATTTAAAATTATGAAAAGGTTGTTTGATTTCGCTTCCATTGGCAGAAGTGAAATGCAAGTTGGTAACAAAAAGGCTCACCTGAAGACAGCAATGTTCTCGCCTCGATTTTACATCTGACCTGACGTTCAAGGAATTCTCGAATCTGCAGAATGTTAGGTATTTGTCTTTCTCGCTCATGTCTTGCTGTTTCCAGGACTCTTAGCACTCTACTCAATTGATCGCTTGGAATACCGCGTACATCCTGAAGGAATAAAGTGTTAATCGATCAATTATCTTCAGATACTTTTCACTTCGTGGATGTTTGTCAGCATTAACACACTTTCATCCTTACTGCCACGTGTGAGGTGGGGGACACCCTAACACAGAACACACTGTCCTGGCCCAAGAAGGAGCTCACAGCGCAGTGGGACATGTAAGGTGTGTGTATGACTGTGGATGACTAGTTAGCATATTAGGCTGTGAGTGCCAGGAAGGAATATGCAGAAGGAGTGTGTGTGTGTGTGTCT